TGCTAATTGACTTTTTTTCTACGATTAGTAGTTTAGCCGCTAAATGTAAAAATATCAATTTTTTTTAGAATTTATACGTTTCAACGTTAATAAAAACGCTGTGGCTCCCGTCCCGAGGCGGGACTTAAGTTCAGTCCCGATTGACGTCATAATTTTAAGATTTGTTATGTTATAATAAAATAATAATAATAATAAATTGTACCTGTATACATGTTTAGTTACGTCATAAAACCAAACCAACCCAAACTCAACAACACAACCCAACCGACCCCGCCCCATTGGCCCCCCCGCCCCATTGAGCAAAAAACCCAACTAAAATGGGCAAATTTATGTTACGATAAAAATAAAACACTTTTTAACAAAGAAACAACAAATTTATAAAATAAAAAAAATAAAAAAAGTTTGACAACTTCTAGTGGGATCGAACCCGGTACCTCTCGCATGCCAAGCGACCGCAAATCAAATCAAATCAAAAATATTTATTCAAGTTATTGTATAAAATATAAATTGTAAAAATAATTCCAGGTATAAATAAGAGGTGTATAAATAAAATGAACAAAACAAATGTGCCTGGCACGTAATGTTCATCATAAAGGAGGTTACTATATATACGCTGTAGCGCAATATAGCAACCCCCCTGGCCGATGTTTTGGCCTACCCGAAACCATGATACAATTTAAATTGTTTCGCAGCTCGCCATTTCCTTCGCTTATCCGATACAGGGGCAATATTGTTTAGTTGTTTTGCGTGTAAAAATTGGAGACTGTCAGATTATGCTTTTTTATAATTTATGGTAAAAGTATTAAGGGAAACCAAGCGACCGCCCTACCATCTAAGCCATCGAGCTTGACACAAATTATAAAATCTCGGGGAATAAAAACCGATTTACAGTGTGTGACGTCAATCGGGACTGAACTTAAGTCCCGCCTCGGGACGGGAGCCACATCGTAATAAAAAAGAAACAGTTGATTCTTCAGACTGGATTTTTTGTAGACAATTTAATGCTAAAAAAGGACCAATGATTGTTTATCAAAAAAAGTTGTACATAGTATGCAGGCAAAATAAATCTTATAAAACTATTTTTTCTTGTTAAATTAATGGGGAAATTTTAAATTCGATGATGGACCTTTTAAAATTAAAATTACAGGCTGGACTCTCTAAGATTTTTTGTTTTGTAGATAATTTAATGCTAAAAAAGGACCAGTGATTGTTTATCAAAAAATTAAAATTTTTCATAGCATTCAGGCGAAATAAATCTTAAAAAACTATTTTTCCATGTTAAATCAATGGGAAAACTTATAAAAATTTTGAACTAACAGATGGAATTTAATAATATTTTAATATATTGTTTACTAGAAAAGTTTCCTTAAAGTGGGCACTTTTAATCACACTCAGCTTATTTAGTTTGTCAGGGACGGACTAGCTCTAACAGAGTAATGCTATTTTTTTAACACCCTGTACTATAAAGGCACAAAAATAATATTTTTAGTCAGCTTAAACCTTAAACTAAAAAAAAAGTTACCTACTTGATTGACATCGATAAAATGAACTATTTTTTGTATTTATTTTTATCTTTTTTGAAATGTTTTTTTACATGTACCAGTTTAAATAGTGATGTCAGTGTCAGTTAAAAATAGAGTGTTTTGAAATTTCGAACAATTTTCTTCATTCCAGGGGCGTCCGTTATGGGCCGTAGGAAAAAAAATTTATAGGAACTTGTCATATTATTTTTATGTGTTCTATCTAAATCCGGGAGATTGTCCACATATTCTGGGACACCCTGTATATACATTGTGACCCATTTGTTTACGACTCACCCCTGTAAAATCTTTATTTATTGTGCGATTTTAATCGGAACTAAAAACACCATATTATAGTACAAAATACAATGCCTACCATGTCAGTTTTTAAGAGTACATTTTTAAGAATTCATATTTGCTATTTTTTTAAACAAAATCCAAGCACATCACTGGATTCACCACCCTTAAAAACGACCCTTTACTAAATTTTATTGAAAAATTTTAAGTAGAAAAATGCACAATAATAACTGCATAAATTTATTTTGTCAAATTATCCATGAAAAAACATTGAAAAAAAATTAAACCAATAGTAACATGGTACTATTACTATAAGTTAAATTTTATTTCAATGTTTTTTTTCATGGATAACTTGACAGAATAATTTTTTGTAGTTATTATTGTACATTATTGTGTTTTCAATAACAATTGGAATTTGAGGGTTTGCTATTGTGTACTGACAGCGGCGTAACTAGAAAAAGTGCCGCCCGGGGCAGCAGTGGCTGTCGCCCTCATTTTTTTTTTGGGGGGGGGGAAGAGAGGTTAGGTTAGGAGTCAGTTTTGAGGACCGTACGCAAAATTAAAAATATATAATTATACAGGGTTGGGCAAAAGTATGGAATAATGGAAATAATTTTTTCCTGGTCAGGTCCTGCAAAAAACGCTTGGACACGTCAAATTTAGTTTTTTCCAAGGATTTTTTTGACATTTTTTTCATATTTATACCTTTTTCCTTTTTTACAGAATGACGTAACTGTCAGTTTATTTAAATGGCAACCCCCAATTTTTTTTACAGAAATGGATAGACCATTAAATTCTGGTTTCAAAAATATGCATATTTAGTCTGATTGGACTTATAGTTTCTAAAATAATAACTTTTTAAGTTGAAAAAATAGGACAAGTAAATTTATTTTAATTTTACACAAAAAATCGCAGTTGTCTTTGACAAAAACAAAACAGGCTGGTAACCAAGTTGAAATACATGACAACTGTGAATTTTTCGCTATTTTGAAAGAAGCAGTGCTTCAGTTCTTTAGAAAAAAGTTTTTTAAAATTCAGATTTACTTAAAAGTCAAAGGAAAAATGGTGCAATTGACTGAAAAAGAAAGGACTGATATCCCAACTATGGTTGGATTTGGAGACCGGAAGAGAACGCAGCAAGAAGTATGCCGCTTATTTAATGAAGCCTATCCCAACCATGCCCCGATTTCGCAATCTTGTATATCCAAAGTAATTAAGAAATACAGACAAAACGAAAGTGTGCAAAACGCAAAAAAATCAGGCCGACCCAAAACAGCCACCAACGAAAATTTGGCATTGAATGTTTTGTTAGAAATAGAAAATGCTCCAAGAACATCCACCAGCGACCTTGCACGAAACCATAATATTTGAAGAAGGTCAATTGGTAGAATTTTAAAAAAAGAAAAATTTCACCCTTACAAAGTACACTTGTCACAAGAATTGACTGAAAATGACTTTAATAGGAGGCTACAATTTTGCGAAGTTATGCAGCGCATGTGGCAGGAAAATCAAAACTTTTTAAATAAAATTTTGTTTTCTGATGAGGCTATAGCCTAAAGGTATACCTTTATGCTAAACGGAGCTGTCAATAGACATAACTGTCGATACTGGTCCCAGCAAAACCCTCACTGGATGATCGAATTTCGCACCCAACGACCTCAACAAGTTAATGTCTGGGCAGGCATAATTGGAAACGAAATTATAGGACCTTTCTTCATAGAAGGCAATTTAACGATGGGGAGATATTTGGCTCTATTAACTGATAACGTTGTCCCTGCAATATAAGCCCTGTATCCAAATGACAACACTATTTGGTTTCAACAGGATGGGGCACCCCCTCATTTTGGACGAGTAGTGAGAGAATATTTGGACGAAGTATTTTCGGAAAGGTGGATTGGACGTGGAGGACAGATAGAGTGGCCACCAAGGTCACCTGACTTAACCCCCTGTGATTTTTTTCTTTGGGGTCATATTAAAGACAAAGTGTACAAGGAACGGCCAAATAACTTAGACGATCTGAGAGCTAGAATCACGGCAGCAATGAGAGAAGTAGGAAATTAAGTATTTGGAAATGTAAGGCGGTCTTTTATAGAGATATTGCAATTATGTAGTCAAAATAATGGTAGACATTTTGAGCATTTAAGGGGATAAACATTTACCGTTTAAATTATTTTCCTAATGGATGTTGTTTCTATAAATAAAAATATTGGTTATGTAGCAAAATAAAGTTTGGTTTTAAAAATTCACAATGTGATTGCCTCATTTAGAATTAAAAAAAATTCAGCACTTTAATGCATATAGGCACTCTCCAGTAATTAAAAATACTACACATTTCTATCAACTTGTTAAAAACACACCGATTCTTGTCGATGAAAAATATTATTATTTTAAAAAGTATTTATAAGTCCAAACATACTGAATATGCATATTTTTAAAATCAGAAATTGATGGTCTCTCCATTTCTGAAAAAATAATTGGGGGTTGCCATTTAAAAAAATTGACAGTCACGTCATTCTGTAAAAGGGGGAGGGGTAAAAAAATAAAAAAAAATGTTAAAATAGTCCTTGGAAAAAACTAAATTTGACATGTCTTAGCGTTTTTTGCAGGACCTGAGCAGAAAAAAATTATTTCCATTATTCCATACTTTTGCCCAACCCTGTATATATAACATTAAATTGTAATATTTTAAGAATTAAAAACAAACAAAAATTCTTAGACCTAGGTAAAGAAAAACAACAAATAAAATGTGCTTTAACATAATTTATATGAAAAAAACAAAGAGATAAATTCTCAACCTTATGTAAAAGTACCTACAAAAAAAACTTAAACCTTTATTGGTAACTTATGTCGGCGGTAGACTGATTACTCATCAAAGGTACAATACCGGTCTTGTTTCTATTTTTTGCTAGCTTAAGCTATAAATTTATTTGATTTGGAATATTTTGGGAGTAATTGTATAAATCTCAAATCTATTGAAATTTGAATTATATTATTTCGAAAGAGAATATTTAATTATCAAATATTTTTTTTATTTTTATATTCTGTCTTCCAGTTTTTTTCGCATTTTCTCTCACGATTTTTGCCGCCCCAAGAAGTGCCGCCCGGGGCGGACCGCCCCCCCCCCCCGCCCCCTAGTTACGCTACTGTGTACTGGATCCCTTTTAACTATTAAATGATTCCTACCTTTTTTATCACACTCAAAGCCAAGTTTTTTTAGAATTTCCCCAAAATTTGTTTGAGAAATTGGTGGTAAGTTTATATCATTCTTAACAGCCTAAAAGAAAGGAAACATAATTATTACTAAACTAAATTTAAGCAAAACATTTTTTATAACATATTCTTATTCAATACTTACTTGATAAATTTCAGTCGAATTTGGTATTTGATGATTTATAAAAAATTTACCAATAACTTTTTTTAGGTGCATCTTTTGTTTCTTATTTAATTTTTCATATTCAGATTTGTTTTTTTTGACGGGTTGGATTTTTACTTTGCCCACATTGTCTTTCTAAAATATAAAATGAATATATAGTACATTGTGCTACTAGTGGGATAAAGAGTGTTGAGTTTGCCACATGAGCCACAAGAAATTTAAAGCCAATTTTATTTTATATATGGGTAATTTTACATAAGTTGGGCAACTTTTGACCTCATTTTGTTTATATAGTTTTCGGAGAAAATTAAACAGTATTTTGTTATGAGAACATAGATAATATAATAAATATACTGTTCCAGACTGGGCCAGTCACTTTTTCAAACAGTTTCTGAAATATCTGTGTTTTCTAAATTTGAATGCAAGGGAAGTGACGAGTATACCAGGGTACTAATTAAATACATAATTTATTGGAAAATATAAGATCTATTTCAAACTTTGAGCATATTATAATAGTATATATACATTAAATATCTTAAAATCAAATAATACCACACATCAGTGGCGGCTTGTGGATTTTGGGTATACCGATATCTCTATTATTAGATATGGGACCCACACCAAATTTATGAGTTTATAATGACATTAAATATTATTGACAAAGGTACGATATAACCCAGAGACAATATATCTCTGATATAACCTGTTAAAAATGTGTTAGCCAATAAATCGCATAACAAACAAAAATCTAAGAAAATAAACAATTTGTAAAATAAACACAGAACCATACCTGATCAACCTGGTTTTTGTAGGATTTAAGTTTATTTTGTTTTATTATTTTATGGACTTTGCCCACACTAAATCCAGAGTTTTCAGAAAGTTTGGCAATCGTAATAGTGGAATCCTCTTGTGCCATTGCACAAATCATTATTTCCTGCATTTCAGCCTCATCATTAATCTTGGGAACGTTATGGCATTTGCATGGTAAAAGGCAGCCTTTTACTTTTAATTTTGTATAAGTGGAGGAAATAGTTTTGACACAAGGAATTGGGCGATCCGGGTATTTTACAGAGAAAAGATCTCTTGTTTCCCTAAAAGAATTTCCCCGTATTACCCAAAAAATCATATCAAACTTTTCCTCCACAGTATAGTGATTCTGAGAGTAATCCATGTCAATAATCTTTTTTACTTTTAATTGTTTATCAGAGTTAAACCGCACGAATGCAAACAAAATTATAATGTCCACCTCACTTTTTTGTTCCTATGTATAGATTGCAAATGAAGGTACAAAAACAAACAGCTGATGCCACAGTGTTGCCAGCGGACAGAAAAAAAAAGTACCAAACTTTACCGCAAGAATTACCAAATACCATAGAAATAATACATAATTATTTCTATGCCAGATACCAAAGGTATCAATGCAGTGAACCAAGACTTTTGGTCATATAACAAATATACTTTTGGTGAGCAGGGACGAGGGAGGCTCCCTTGTCTCTGGTGCAGTGTTGCCAACCTATTTTATTTAAAATTCCCCAGGACGGTTTTAAAAATTCCCTATTTTAACCCAAAATTACCTTTCGAGTTTTTTTGTTAATAAAATATATCTTTTTACAAAAATATATATAAAATTTAAAAAAGTATTAATAAAAATTAAAATAATCTGTCGAAACGTCAAAACTCTTTTCCCGCCAAATCAAATGGACCAATGAAAACATTTTTTGTATTTCAAATCTATATGAAACCGCTCTTAAAATAAAAAAATACCTTAATCTTTAACATATTTGACAAGATCATAATATTGTTGATATCAATCACTGACAGCTCTGTTCTGTGATTGACCCACAGAAATATTTCTGTGGACTGACAGCACATAATACCAGGGTTGCTAGACTTTTTTTTGACAAGTGGGGCTAAAATCTCCGCAATTAATTAAAACAATAAAAAAAATTATTAAAAATAAACAAAATGTAAAATTTTAAACAAAAATTAGTCTCGAGTCGGGTAGACTCTTACTGACCAGCTACAAGTATTTTTATTGATAGGTAATTCCCTAATATTCACATTTTTCATAAAAGATTCCCTTCCTCCCTTTCGATAACAAAAATTCCCAATTAAGGGAAAATTCCCTGCAGTTGGCAACGCTGCTCTGGTGTCTGTGATTATACCAATCATGAAGCCTACACAAGTAGCCTGAACTTAATAGGGAAAATCATAAAAATAATATTATTATAGTATTATTTCTATGGGGGAAATTGACAAAACCTGCCCTCTAAATTGCACAAATTAATTATTTTTTTCACCACCAGCGGCGCTGATTGTCGATGCGTACTGACGTCTGCTATTTTGGTAGCGTTTCGGTACAAGTCAAGCAATTGTTTATTAATAACGGTACACCAGCGCCTTCTTATCTTGGGAAGATTCTGGTTTACATGAAATTCGGACTCCTTCTGTAGGCTCCATGATACCAATGAATCATAACTTTTATAATCTGTGGCCCATAGAAATAATACTCATAGTCAGAGACAAGACTTTCTTACTCTATGCTCATAGTATTATTTATTATTATTTCTATGCCGTGGCCGAGAGCGCATCTTGGTTTGTTCTGTGATCATTGGCAATGATGCGCTCTCGGCCACCTTCGACAACTTTCGGCTTTTTTGAATATCTGGTGAGATTTTTAGGGTATTTTAAGGAATTTTCTGTCTAATGTCAAAATTGACATTAGAATACAAAATTTGTTTAATGTTTGATTCAGAATAATATTCATATCATGCAGTATTTTGTGTTGATTGGCCTTTGGCTCACTACTCTTTCAAAGTAGGCGAAGCCACGACTGATTTTCGTATTTTTCGATGTTCTTGGGTAAAAACACTTTCAAGGTAGATAAACATACATTTGATCTAGTGTTTGATAGTTTATAAAGGTATTCTATTGGTTTTTACAGCTTGTCAAAATATTTTAGAGGTAGTAGGTACATCTATTTTGTTATCATAAAATATAAGTGATAGTTTCCATACACGATGGAACAAATACTCCTTAAAAAAGAACCTGAAGAACTTGTTGAAGATTTTAATGGTGCTATTTTGATGAATTACAATAAACCAAGACAAACCTCTGCTGACCAAGTAATGCCTTCAACCTATTCCATGGCAATTAAAAAAGAATTGAATGATAACGACAACTCAATGAACCACAACGAATCATGGGTGAAAAAAGAATCAAAAACGTCCACAAATGAAGAAAACGATTTTAGTGAAGCTGAGCAATTCAAAATGAAATTCAAAGACAAAAAAGAAATTGTTTTTGACAAAGGGTAAGCATTTTTGCCATTCCTTTAATTATCATCATGACAAACAATGACTTACTGAGTAGAAATTAGTAGTTTCTTTTGTGAATTTTTGTTAAAATACCATGGAGCTCCATGTAAAATATGATGGCAGTTTGTTCTGCTTTGGGTTGTAGAAGTTGTAGGTATAATATACAGTGTGACCCATTTGTTTGGGACTCACCCCTGTAAAATCTTTATTTATTGTGCGTTTTTAACCGGATTTGTTTTAAAGTGTATTTCTTGATAAACTGTATTTTTGGAGCAAAAAACGCCATATTTTTACAAAATACAAGGCCTACTTTGTCAGTTTTTAAGAGTAAATTTTTAAGAATTCATATTAGCGATTTTTTTAAACGAAATCTAAGCACAGCACTGGATTCACTACCCCACAAAATGACCCTTTACTAAATTTTATTGAAAAATTTTAAGTAGAAAAGTGCATAATAATAACTACAAAAATTTATTAAATAAAATTAAACTTATAGTAATAAATTACTAGTACCATGTTACTATTAAACTGCGCACCACTCAATGTGTCGCGACCAAAAAGTTCGTCCTTTTCCTAAACGACATAACTTTTTTGTTTCTTAAACGATTTTATTTTGGTCTGTAATGTCTGCTAGCCTCATCCTCTGGCAATTCATCCTATAGATATGAGGCTCAGGGTTCTTTAAGTAAATTTCCTACAGGGTGTTATGTAAAACGGTGAAAAATTTCAATAACTTCATCCAAGCCCCATTTGTAAAAAAAATATTTTTTTCTCGTTTTTACTTTGAAATAATGAAGTACTACCTATGTCTTAGCTTAAACCGTTTTTAAAAATTTTCGAATTGAAATCTTGGCAACTAAAATATGAGGTTTTTTTCAAAAGAGTACATTTGAGGCTTTTTTGTAGGCAATACAATAAGTCTTTTTAAGAACAAGAAGATAAGATGGTGAAAGATTGTTCCTTAAATAATTCTGAACAAGCGACAAACAACAAACTTCTCTTATTTTCAGAGGGGCCTAAGCAAAGACCACTTTTTCAAAATGACATTTTGGTGAAAATTTGCAAAAACTAAACCTGAACCGATATTTACGTTCGTTACATGTTTTCTTCATATTTTTGACCTGATTGTGCTTCAGTTGTCAAATTTAAGTTTTAGATCAAACCAAAATCCCCAGGAATCAAAATTTGAAAACAATATTTAATCATATTTATTATTAAAATGCAAATTTCCGAATTCATTTTTTGGGCGAAATTACAGCAATTTGATTGGGTGGTTAGGATAATGTTACATAACTTACATTTATTTACATTGCGCACTAGTTGCGTAACTTGTCACTGATAATTACCTACCTAATTGGTAATAAGGTTAAATAAAAATATGTTTGTTTATTTTTTAAAATTTTATGCGAAGATATAATAATAATTAAAACTACAACATTCAACAGAAAAATTTAACAAACAATAACAATAATAAATTTTAATATTTCGTTGGCCCTCCCCTAACACTTAATAATTCATTAACCCTCCTGGGCATTCCCTCGACCAAGTTCTTTAAAAAATCCTGGGGTATGGCTTCCCATTCTTCCTGAATAGCATTCACCAATTCATCCAAATTGTCCATGCGTCCTTCCCTCTCCTCCATCTTAAGTTTCATCCTGCTCCATACATGCTCAATAGGATTCATATCCGGAAACAAAGGTGGCCAATTCATTATCTCAATATCGTGGTCCCTTAAAAACTCATTTACTATACTGGCGCGGTGCGGACGGGCATTGTCGTCCACCAACACCTATTTATTGGCAACATTTTGAGTATAAGGGACCACGATATCCCTAACACACAAATCTCTATATCTCTCAGCATTCATACTCTGTTCTCTCAAAATTACCAATTCACTCTTTCCATTCATCGCCATTCCACCCCCAACAGTCACTCCTCCACCTCCAAAAGCCACCCTTGCCTCCATGTTCTCTTTCAGATACCTTTCATTTCTTCTCCTCCATACTAAACCACGCCCATCAGATCTAAACAAAGTAAACCTACATTCATCCGTAAACAAGCATCTACTCCATTCTGCCATACCCCAGTGTTCATGTCTCTCCCCCCATAATCGGCGAGTGACCCGATGTTGTTCTTGCAAACGTGGACAAGCTCCTCGTCGCCTTGCTCGAAAGCCCGTTTCGTGCAATCTTCTGCGAACCGTTGACTTGGAGATGTGAAGTCCCGTAGCTACAGCATGTCGATGTCCGCCTTTGCTGTACGATTCTTCGGATAAGGCTGTCTTAAGCGATCGTCGTCTTTCGCCTTGAACCCCCTCTAGGAAGATAGTTTACATTTCCAGTTATTTCTACACGGCGAAGGGTTCGTTGGATGCTTCTTGTTGAGGTTTGCAATAAATCAGCTATTTGTTGTACGCTGTCACCGCGTTCTTGCATTCGCACAACGATGGCGAGTTCATCAATTGATGAACGAGGCATTATTTTTTTTGATAGTGATATCAAGTTACTGACAGAAACGTACTTTTTATGATTATTTTCCTTAAACTTTCAGTAGGTGCTATGGTTACCATGCACAACCTACTCGTATATGGATTCCCAATGGTATTTTAATGATTTAAAGGAAGAATGAAAGTAACCTGGGTAAGATAGGGGTAGGTATAACTTATGAAAAAAAACTTCGAAATTTGAAAAAAAAGAATATACCTCATAATGCGTTTTGAATGTTTTTCAAGAACCAATTTTTATCATTTGATATCTTCGCATAAAATTTAAAAAAATGAACAAAAATATTTTTATTTAACCTTAAGGTTATTACCAATTAGGTAGGTAATTATCAGTGACAAGTTATAACTAGTGCGCAATGTAAATGTAAGTTATGTAACATTATCCTAACCACCCAAACAAATTGCAGTAATTTCGCCCAACAAATGAATTCCGAAATTTGCATTTTAATCATAAATATGATTAAATATTGTTTTCAAATTTTGATGCCTGGTGATTTTGCTTTGATCTGAAACTTAAATTTGACAACTGAATCACAATCAGGAGATCAAAATTATGAAGAAAACATGTAACGAACGTAAATATCGGTTCAGGTTTAGTTTTTGCAAATTTTTACCAAAATGTCATTTTGAAAAAGTGGTCTTTGCTTAGGCCCCTCTGAAAATAATAGAAGTTTGTTGCTTGTCGTTTATTCAGAAATATTTAAGGAACACTCTTCCACCATCTTATCTTCTTGTTCTTAAAAAGACTTAGTGTATTGCCTACAAAAAAGCTTCAAATGTACTCTTTTGGAAAAAAAACTTATATTTTAGTTGCTAAGATTCCAATTCGAAAAATTTGAAAAACCTTTCAAGCTAAGACATAATACTTCATTATTTCAAAGTAAAAACGAGAAAAAAATATTTATTTTACAAACGGGGCTTGGATGAAGTTATTGAAATTTTTCACCGTTTTACATAACACCCTGTAGGAAATTTACTTAAAGAACCCTGAGCCTCATATCTATAGGATGAATTGCCAGAGGATGAGGCTAGCAGACATTACAGACCAAAATAAAATCGCTTAAGAAACAAAAAAGTTATGTCGTTTAGAAAAAGGACGAACTTTTTGGTTGCGACACATTGAGTGGTGCGCAGTTTAGTTTAATTTTATTTCAATGTTTTTTCAAGGATAACTTGACAAAATAAATTTTTGTGGTTATTATTGTGCATTTTTCTACTTAAAATTTTTCAATAAAATTTAGTATAGGGTCGTTTTGAGGGATGGTGAATCCACTGCCGTGCTTAGATTTTGTTTAAAAAAATTGCTAATATGAATTTTTAAAAATTTACTTTTAAAAACTGACTTAGTAGGCCTTGTATTTTGTAAAAATATGGCGTTTTTTCCTGCAAAAATACAGTTTATCAAGGTCTACACTTTAAAACAAATCCGGTTAAAATCGCACAATAAATAAAGATTTTACAGGGGTGAGTCGCAAACAAATGGGTCACACTGTATGTAATAATGAGGGAAATAAAGAGCCTTAAATAAACTTTTTCAGGTAAATTACCTTACAGAGATCACACTAACTCAAAATTTGCTTGTTAGGTAATAAATCTATTTATTTTAATCAGTATCTGTTAAACCAGTTTCTATAAAAACAAATTTATGCGCAAATATGCGATCTTTCTTTCAGAATGATCTAATTTATAATTACATTGGGGCATTTTTTAATTCAGCTTTGGTCATATTTTAGCGTTTTGGTTACGCATCCACTCCTAAGTCAATGATGACAAAAGTTGTTTGACAGTTGACATGTTAAAACATGCAACAAGTGATAGTTTTAACCTTGAATTTATACACAGCCTGCTTGTTCCTATTGCAAAAATTGTTAAATTGTTGAAGTTTTTATATTAAAATTTTTATTCTCACCCATAATATAACATCGATGATATTTTCAAATTAAAATGGAGCTGCAGATTTCACGAGTCATGTGACATGTGAAATGTGATGCTTCAGTTGTATTTTATTGGTTCTAATTATAATAAATTGTATTGTCTATGGAATATCACTTACCAAAAAAGAAATATTTAACACAAGATTAACATGATTTCATTCACTATAGTCAATATTATAATATTTTTATTATAAATATACCTTAATAAATTTAAGCAAAATACCAAAATGAGACTTCAATTCATCAATGTGTAGTTTTAATAATAATGTATTATATAAGTCTTTCTCATTTTGGATTTTATAAAGAATTTTTTATATTAAAAACAAAAGTGCCTAAAAGGTTTTTAACCAAAATTATTTTGTTGTCACTTTTGTCCTTTGAGTTGAAGCTTTTTTTGAGTACCAGAAAATGAACATTTTACATCCACCTTTGGACTATTTTTGAAGAAAATCTAGTTAAATATTTATTATTTTTGAAAAGATGGTTTTATGTAATTTTTTGTTATTATAAAACTCTAATATTCTATTGCCCAAAGAGCCATTTTAGCTCAGGAATTGTCCTTTTGCCTTTGAAAATTTTTTGTCAATAAATTTACAAGACAGGACTTTATATTCCTACGACCCTTGTGCAATCAAGATGGCCAACAATAATTTTAAAAAGTTGTTTAAAACTTAACAAACATTTAACTGCATATATGATTATATATTTTTTAATAACTTTTGCGCAAGCACGTTTTTCATTTAAGTAGTTTTCGAACTATCGCGTTGGGAAATAAATGCCATACAATATATCACCAAAGATAAATGAGGTACTTCACTTTTTGGTCAAATGTGATAATTCAACGGCCTAGGTAAGGGGATAAGTCAAAAAAAGTAAATTTTCAGTAGAGCCTCAAAACGTATTCGCAAGTGGTCGCGGTTTATGTTAAAAATTAATTTAAAAATTTAGAAAAGTAGAAAAGTAAGAAAAAACCCTGTTTAAAAAAAATAAATAAAAAATTATGAGTTTTTCCCACTTTTTTAGGATTTGATCTATTATTTTTTTTAAAGTGGTCGGGGTCCTGTTTAAAAATTAATTTACTAATGTAAATTTTACCTTCAGAATATTAAAAAAGTAAGAAAAAACTTCGTTTGATTTTTTTTTAATATGAGTTTTTCCCACATTTTTAAGATTTGTTATATTTGTATGTGTCAGGTTCAGGTTAAAAATTAATTTACAAATCTGAATTTTTGGGAGTACTTTCAGGATAGTAAAAAGTAAGAAAAAATCTTGTTTGATATATTTTTTTTAATTATGAGTTTTTCCCACTTTTTTAGGATTTGTTCTAATTTTTTTATTAAAAGTAGTCAGGGCTCATGTTAAAAATTAATTTAAAAATCTGAATTTTTGGAAGTACCTTCGGGATAATTTTTTTATTATTGACTTTATTAGCATATCTTTTTTAAATAATAAATATTAAATAAAATAAATTTTGTTTATTTTTGGAAGGGCGCCTTACATTAATACAGGAAATATATTTATAGTTAGTGTGTATAGGCTTTTGCCAGTGTATGACAATAAATAAAAAATTATGAGTTTTTCCCACTTTTTTAGGATTTGATCTATTATTTTTTTTTAAGTGGTCGGGGTCCAGGTTGTAAATTAATTTACTAATCTAAATTTTACCTTCAGAATATTAAAATAGTAAGAAAAAACTTCGTTTGATTTTTTTTTAATATGAGTTTTTCCCACATTTTTAAGATTTGTTATATTTTTTTAAGTGTCAGGCTCAGGTTAAAAATTAATTTACAAATCTGAATTTTTGGGAGTACCTTCGGGATCATTTTTTTATTATTGACTTTATAAGCATATCTTTTTAAAATAATAAATATTAAATAAAATAAATTTTGTTTATTTTTTGAAGGGCGCCTTACATTAATACAGGAAATATATTTATAGTTAGTGTGTCACGGTGTCCCTAAATAACTTTTAATTGAAAGGTTTAGACGTATCCGATTTTTTTTTCATATTTTTATAAAAAATTACCTGCAAGACAATTTTTTTTCAGGATAAACTCAATTCACCTGGCACTTTTTTAGAAAAATCAATTTTTATAAAAACATTAATGATTTTTATTCAATTTTTTGAGATTTTTAATTAGTGAACTCCAAATAATGACTAACAGCTTTTAATGTATTTGTTACTATTGACATATGTCACTTGTCACATGTCACATGTCGAAATCGTGATTGAAAATACCTATGCGTAATTTTACCGTTTTTGTTTCAATTTGTCGCAGATTTATTTATAAAATAGATATAAATGTTTTTATAAAAACTGATTTTCTAAAAAAGTGCCAAGCGAATTGAGTTTATCCTGAAAAAAAAATTGTCTTGTAAGTGATTTTTTATCAAAATATGAAAAAAAAATCGGATACGTCTGAACCACGGTCTTATATACAGGTCTTGCAACTTCGCCCAATTTCAATAGGAAAAGTGACCTCTCTAATGAGACACCCACCAGATGGCGCATCGAGTTGAGGGTGAACCATAGATGTTTAAAGGTCGTTTTTACCTTCTTTATCTTTGGGTTTTACAATCGTTAGATAAGCTCTCTGGTGGATAATTTTCTTAGAAAGAAGGTTTCTATGAAAGTTATCCGCCAAATAAGCTAACTTAATCTAACGATTGTAAAACCGGCTCTAAGTCCTTAAAGTCTATGGGATAAAGGTCAAATGAACTACCTACTTATGTTCTGTGAAGAAACATAACCTACATTTTTATAAACAAGCTTGTGTATTTTGTTATAGGGAGTTTTTACTTATTGTTATTGTGATATTCGTTATTGTTATATTATATTGTTCTATTTTTTCTTGTTATATTTGTTCTTGTTATACATTTGTATTTGTGCTTTTTAATAGACATGAAGTCCTGTGTTGTGCCAAAATGTAACCAGCAAAGCTATCGTTCCGGCATTAAAATTAAGCGGTCCATGTTTAAAGTGCTAACAAATAAGGAGCGGTTAAAAACATGGCAATGTGCAATAAAAAACATATTATTGACACCTTCACATTTTGTATGATTATTATATAATTAAGCACATCGTGTTGGTGAAATATATATTATTTTAAATAAACAATCAACCCATCCCCGCCAAGACAATAAAAAAATCGGTTATTAATAAATTAGCCAGAATATTGGTTGGTTAGTTTGTTGTGTTACTAGAAATTTTGGTTTTCATATTACCCAAATTGAATTGGATAGTTTACAAATTATCCAGCTATTCCTAAATAATTTCAAGTAAATTAGCCAAGACCCTTGGTTGGTTTACAAACTAGCCGCTAATTTAGTTAAAATACGTTTTCAATTAAAATAGCTGATAGTTTGGCTAGTTTATAAACTACCCAGCTACTTAATAAACTATCCATGTTTACACATTAGCCGTAACATACAGGGTGTCCGGAAAAAGGAGGTCAATCCGTTAACCATATATTCTTTGAGTTAAAATAATAGGACTTTCATAATACCATTTTCCAATTTAGAGCTTCATGTTCGATATACAGGGCGACAAAGTTTGAAATTTAAAACTGATTTTTTTTAATAATTCGAGTAATTGATAAGATACTAAGTTTAAATTCGGTACACTACTTCAACATAAATAGTTACATTTTTTGAGACCAACAAAACAAAAAACAATTGTCAAATAATCAAAATAGGGGGGTCCAGTACTCACTGACTTCCCCTATTTTTTAGTACGTGCGCCAATGACTTCCAAACGGTATTTTTTCAGGTAATCATTTATTGTTGAAAATTTTTTGTCTCTTATAAAATTTTGATATTTAAGAGATGATTTGTAAAGTATGGGTCAATCCATATCAAATTTTTAAAATTGAATTTTTTTTTGAAAAAATTTATGTCATGTGATATATCATAAAAAAGGTCTCTAATAGGCCTTTAAAATAAGCCATCACTCACCTTTCTACTTTTAATAGTTTACGAGATATCGCTATTTTTGTAAGTACTTGCAAAACCCAAATTTATCGGAATTTTTTGATTTTCAAAAATCAATAAAACAAAAACCACCCATCGAAAAAAATTCATATATGGGATTTTTGAGTGTTTTAGTGAGGTAAACAAATTTACCAAAAATTATCAAAATCGGAGATGGTGAGGGAAGAACCTTTGGTTGATTTGATATGGACTGACCCATACTTTACAAATTATCTCTAAAACAAATCATTTTATCAAAATTTTATAAGAGACAAAATTTGTTTAACAATAAATGATTACCTAAAAAAATACCGTTTGGAAGTCATTGGCGCACGTACTAAAAATAGGGGGAGTCAGTGAGTACTGGACCCCCTATTTTGATTTTTTGACAATTGTTTTTTGTTTTGTTGGTCTCAAAAAATGTAACTATTTATGTTGAAGTAGTGTACCGAATTTAAACTTAGTATCTTATCAATTACTCGAATTATTAAAAAAAATCAGTTTTAAATTTCAAACTTTGTCGCCCTGTATATCGAACATGAAGCTCTAAATTGAAAAATGGTATTATGAAAGTCTTATTGTTTTAACTCAAAGAATATATGGTTAACGGATTGACTTCCTTTTCCCGGACACCCTGTATATATGATATACGTATGTATTTTATACATTAACATGTTTGGTCTGGGCATGTGACGGCCGAGGACTTTGTGCATAGAGTATAGACTTTGTTGCCCTATTTTGTTAACGTAAATTATCCGAAACAAACTCACAAATATTAAATTTTTGAAAATGTAAACAAAACATAGAAAAAGAATTTAAAAAGTTAGGTTATGGTTATGCAGTAGTTCCACATTTAACTAAGTAGTAGTTTAATTGACTTTACCCCTTCGATCTTAGCGCCACCTAGCGGCTTGGCACGTTAAGGAAGCCACCTCGAAGCTTAAAGTTGCAAGACCTGTATATAAGACCGTGGTCTGAACCTTTCAATTAAAAGTTATTCAGGGACACCGTGGTGTATAGGCTTTGTTATCTATGGTATAGGCTTTTGCCAGTGTATGACATTCGCTGGCAAAAGCGTATATATACTTGCTAACCATAAACATGTATATTTCCTGTATTATTGCGGAACTGCTGTCGAGACCAGTGGCTGCCCATCAAGTGCCTAAGAGTTGTGGTATTTTTTATGATTTTTTTATTCAAAAACATTAGCATAACACAATTACCCGTAATACCAGTATTTTCTTATATAAACAGTGTGGTTTTTATATTTACATAGTTGTGATATGGAGTTTCAACCAGCAAAGTTTGAAATAATGAAGCAAGTAGTCGTTAAAAAAGAAACTGAAGACCTAGTCGACTATTCCTATTCAATGAATTACGATAAACCAAGACCAACCTTTGCTGACCAAGAGATGCCTTCAACGTCTGGGATAGCAATAAAACAAGAAACCAAAGATGATAACGACAACTCCATGGGTTACGATGAATCGGGGGTGAAAGAAGAACCAGGAACGTCCACAGATGAAGTAGACTATTTTGATGTAGCCGAACCAGTCGAACTGAAATTCAATGCAGAAAAAAAAATGTTTGTTTTGAAAGGGTAAGCAGCAGACAAAGTATACTTTTTAAAGGCACCATTGACAAATATGATTTGAACCACAATCCACACAACAAGGTCTATTCTATCTCATGCTAAAAATACTAAAAATCACTGCAACACTGCACAGAGTTTAACGGCGGCCATTTTTGTTGTTTACAATTCTTGTGCTTTGGGTTTGTGCTGTTTAATAATTGTTTTAAACATTGTGTTTCTTACAGAGGCACTTGTAAGCCTCAAATAAGGCCTTTAAGTGCCAAGGACAACCATTTTACTCCTCTTTCATAATAAATATACCTTATTCTATCAGGGCTGTCAAATGACAATTTGAAGGTTAATTTGTGGGTTATAATTTAACCTTAAAATTGACATTTGACAGCCCTGATAGAATAAAATTTTTTACAATAAAGGAGTAAAATGGTTGTTGTTAGCACTTTAAGGACTCTTTTAAGGCTTACTATGAGAAACACAACGTTTAAAACGATTATTAATCTGTATAAACAGAGCACAAACCCAAAGCACAAAAATTGTAAACAACAAAAATGGCCGCCGTTAAACTGTGCAGTGTTGCAGTCATTTTTTGTATTTTTAGTACGAGATAGAACAGACCTTGTTGTGTGGATTGTGATTTGAACTAAAAAAAATCGACAATAATTGTTAACTAATAATTATTTTATTAGTAAAAACTATTCACGTGTTTCAGAGATAAACTGGTTTCTGTGAAACAAACAAATAAAAATATGTAATTTTTAAACTTTTTTATGGAAAATGTTTTGTAGGAGCGACAGTGAAGTTGTAAATAAAGAAATATTGGCGAAAACAGGCCTTCTAAAAGCAGGAAAAGGTAATTAAAAATGTCAAAAATGTTCAAGTTACATTTGCCAAAAAAATTCTTAATAAGACCGATCGAAATGTGCAAAAAATGGCGTCGCTGAACTAATCTCAAAACCTCTAACTGGCTTAAGTTACCAAGAAATGTAATACTGTAAATAAAGAAAATGCCTGGTCGCTGGAAAAAATCTGACATTCTCAATCTTAGTTAAAAGTTTGATGAATAATTAAACTAATATAACTAAACGCACAACAATTGTATTTTAATAGCAAAAAACAAAAACAAAACAAACTTGTCAAGTTGACGTCGCTTCGAGGTTTTGACAATGAGGTTTTGGTTCACTTTTGGCACTTTTTACTACAATACACAACAATAGGCATTCCGCGTCCTTTAATATGTTTAGGAGAAAATGCAAGCTAAATATTTTGCTAGGATAATGTTTCTAGCTTTACCTATACAAAATTGAGGGGTGACAAGCCTAAAGAGCTTATATTTTTTGGGGTTTGAAAAAGTAATTCTTAAAGTGTTATTTTTACAGGATTCCCGTTTGTCTTAAAATTTTTAAATGTCATAAAATAAAATTGTCCTAAAATGTCATAAAATTCACGTTTTGTCATAGAAATCATGAAGTGTTTAAGTTGCCCACGAGGCCGTCAGGCCGAATGTGCATTAACACTAGCTTGAAGAAAGCTTTTCTCACAAGTGAAACGCAATGTTTTTTCTCCGGCCCTTTTATTTTTTATTATATTCAAGTACAAAACAAAATAACCTAAAAACGTGTTTGACAGCTGTTAAAATTCTTTCATCTTATTCTTTTAATTTTTAAGGTATAACTTACTTAAAATCAGTAGACTTACCTTCTCAATTTAAATAAAGGCACTAAAAACTAGAATTTATTATACAAACACTTTTCATGAAAAATTAAAATTGCGATGATAGACCTCTTAATATTAATATTATGGACAATATTTTTTTTTTACTGATATTACGAATAAAAAAATAAGCGTTTTTTTACATATCTTTGTAAATATTCATTTTACGTATAAGGAATGCTGCAGCATTTCAATAGAAAACATATTGGGTCGAATGATGTGAAAATTGTATGACAGTTTCGTTTAAAATAAGAAAGTTATTGGTATTTAAAGTAATAACCCATACAGCACAAGATGTCCAGTGGACGTCAAATGGACTTACATTGGACGTTTGGATGTACAATGGCCGTCCGCTGGACGTCCAATGGATATATGTGCTGTGTGGGAACAAGGTTAAAGTAAATACCAGACCCTGTATAAAATTTTAACATTACAATTAGTGGTAAATTACCTCTGGTAATACTGACATTATGTCCGAGACATATTAGTAAACATTCAATTTTCTTAGTTTCTTTAAGAAACTTTCTTGACCCATGACTGGTAATATTCATAAGAAAAAAAATTGAACCTACACCTCGCCAGTTTTTTTGTTTTTGAGTGCGTTCCACCAACTTCAAATACCGACCTATATTGAGTCTCATCAGTGTCCGTCAACTTGGTGTAGTGGAACACACTCAAAACAAAGGACTCCCTGAGCTTATATACTGGGTTGGTAAGCCAACAGAGGCAAAATGTAAGAACATCACGTGATCCACACCGTCTAACGACGTGGCCTTTGCCGCAATCTGAACATACTATGCAACCAAGACTGCTCACGGCAAATTGTATCACAGTTACTAATATGGCCTAAAGGAATCAAGGATTAGTCCATGGGCCCTGACACTGATGAGACCCAATATAGGTCGAAACAGCTGTCTGTCGGTATTTGAAGTTGGTGGAACGCACACAAAACAAAAAACTTTGGCGAGGTGTAGGTTCATTTTTTTTACATATTAGTTAGATTTTGGAAAAATTAAATACACTCACAGAAAAATAATCGATCCACACAAATTTTCTATGAATTTCAATCGCAAATAACTTTTTTATGTCGGATTTAAACAAATATTAAAGAATATTGTAGATAAATTAATGGACAATCGCTCACATTTTAAAAAAATACTAAAAAATAGATGTACGTTTATAATATACAGGTTTAAACAAAAATATGTTTTTTACCATAAGTTTAAGACACTCTGTAGAGTGGCAAAACCGTATATGGTTCTAAATTAAGTTTTATATATTAAGTCACATCTATTCTTAACAGTTTTGTTTTTGGTTCACCTCGATATATTTATTTTTGTGGAAAATATGGATTTTTTAAAAAAACATTGCATTTTCCAATATTTTTCTATATGAAGAACTAAGGTTGCTATGGTCCATCTATAGGCTATGGAGAATAACAGTGACAGTTTTGTTGAATCATCCCATACTTCGACATGTCATACACGGCTTTCAAAAGCTATCAATTTGTTTTTTGCAAATTAATGTTTAAATTTTGAGGTGTCTTCTTACTTTAAAAAATGGATATGTCTCCGACTGATGTTGCCAGAGCCATTAATTTAATCCAGGATGGACGGTCACAGTATTACGTGGCAAGTGTTTTAAACGTCACAAGAAGTAAAGTACAAAGGGCAACATCAGTCGGAGACATTTTTAAAAGTAAGAAGACACCTCAAAATTAACACATTAATTTACAAAAAACAATTTGATAGCTTTTGAAAGCTGTATATGACATGTCCAAGTATGGGATGATTCAACAAAACTGTCACTGTCATTCTCCATAGGCTATGGATGGACCATAGCAACCTTAGTTCTTCATACAGGAAAAATATTGGAAATTGCAATGTTTTTTTTTAAATCCACATTATTCACAAAAATAAATATATCAAGGTCAACCAAAAACAAAACTGTTAAAAATAGATGTGACTTGATAATTAAAACTTAATTTATAACAATATACGGTTTTGCCACTCTACAGAGTGTCTTAAAGTTATGGTAAAAAACATATTTTTGTTTAAACCTGTATATTATAAACGTACGTGTATTTTTTAGTAATTTTTAAAATTTGAGCGATTCTCCATTAATGTATCTACAATATTCTTTAATATTTGTTTAAATCCGAAATCAAATAAAGAAGTTATTTGCGATTGAAATTCTTCGAAAATTTGTGTGGATCGATTATTTTGCCTGTGAGTGTAGCTAAAAAACTGTTAAAAATTAAAAAAATAATCAAATTTTAATATTTTTAGAATTTTGTGTTGAGTTAAAAAATGCAATAATATTTTAATGGTTCCATTTGAAAATAGTTTACATTGCCTTATATTTGCTATACAAATTTCAAATCGATATCTTTTTCCTTTATCCATAAACTTTTAATGAATAAGTTATGTAAATCAGCCTGTATATTATAACCCAAAAATTACTGATTGAAAATTTATTAAAATTTTAACTGAATTTCTATTTTGGCATGATCTAAGGAATTTTTTATTTGGACTTTGTTTCCTTTCAAACACCCTAATAAATACACTTTTTTTTACAGAGACTGGCGGAGTTGGCGAAGAAAAGTTAAAATGTGAGATTTGTACAAAGAATTTTAAAACAAAGATGGGTTTAATTAGTCATGACAAGTATTTTCATAGAAAAGACGAACTGGAAAAACTTACATGCAACAAATGTGACTATGAAACTGTAAACAAAAGTAACTTAAAAAAACATTTGAAAATCCACGACAAGGATAACTATTTAAAGTGCCATTTTTGTCAATATAAGGCTGCCCAATTAGTTCAATTAAGTGCGCATATTCTAAGTTATCATAAGTTGGAAAATAAACTAAAAATAACAAGTAAAATTTATCAGTGCACTAAATGTACATATTCAACTGTTATAAAAACAAATTACGATAATCACGTAAAAGTTTGTTTGAAATTAAAGAATGTTAAGTGGTATAAATGTGAAGTTTGCGACTACAAAACTATTGATACAAGTAATTTTCACGCTCATAAAAAAACTCATAATAAAATAAAGCAATTGGAATGTTTGTTTTGTCCACATAAAAGTAATATAAAAAAAAATTTAGACAACCATATTTTAACCAAACATTTGGATTTGTTAAACGAATCGAATAAAACTTTCATCACTTCCAAAGTACATGCATGCAACCATTGTCAATATAAAACTACTAACACAATTTATTTAAAAAAGCATTTAAATCATAATCATTGATTATATTTCATTTAAATATCTATTCCAAACGAAATCCAAATTTTGTAATTTAGTTGTTAATAAATTATTTTTATTTTGAAATCATATTTTTATTAAGCAACTTTAAAAAATCGTAAACTTATAAGTTTATTATTAATTACACTATGATAGTTCAATTTACTAACATTGAGTACGCCCACCAATATTACCTAATTTTGGGCTGCTGATTTCAAAAATGCCACTCGTTTTGCGCCAGCACGTCTAGGATTCGAAATAATTTCGTAATAAAATGCTCTGCTTAATTATCTCAATATGTAAGTTTTTCGTTAATATTTTCATTATTTATTAAATTATTTTGCCTTAAATCTAATTTGGATGTTCAGTATATTTTTGACGTTTTTTGTCAAAAATATACAAAGTCATCGGTAGATAAAAGAAATAGAAATTTTGTTTATTCCATTGTAGCCTTATACTATAGTAGTATTTTATAAGGGATATTTAATAAAGCACTTTTCTGCAGAGAAGTGCTTTATTAAATACCAAAACTAAATTAAATTCTTTTTTTGATAAAAAGTATCATTTTTTGAAATTTTTGTGTCGTTTTTTTAATTACTAATTAAATTGAAAAGGCAACAAAGTAAATGGGTTTTGTATAAGCATTACTCTTCGACTATTAGTTGATATGTTTTTATTCACGTGAATGATATCATGCCTAAAGTACCCAAAAATTTAATCTCAAATCTTATTTATTAAGTCTTATCAAAATTTAATACCGAATTGAAGTATAAAGGCGCCTTTATCTACTTTATCGTTTAAGCACACTAAAATGCATCTATTAATTATTGATATTTAAAATTTAAACTTTATATTGTATTTTTACTTGAAAATAATTTTAAGAACCAAAAATGAAAAAAGATCAGGAAATGGAAGTGCCAGAGAAAGAGAAAGGAGACGAACATTGATGTCGTCGTTGTAAATTTGTTTTGTTTTTGTTGCTGTACCTTTACGCCCAAGAAAAACCAACGCAATATTTCATTACAAAATTTTATGAGATATACCTACTACTTTAATTTTGCAGGAATAATAAATGGACCTGATATACGACGTTTAATGAAAGATCAAGCATTCAAAAATGCTCTCAAAGTTGACGAGCTTTTCGTATAAGGCAGTGTTAACGCTGTCATTGAAAATGTTCTTGGTTCATATCGGGCTTAAAATTGGCGCCAATTCATTGAAAAAATGCTTTCCTTTTTGCAAAGAATAAGTGTTAATATGTCATTTAAAATACATTTTGTTTTTTTTTCTCCTGACAAATTTGCCGAACTGATAAACATGGAGAACGATTTCACCAAGTAACTGGAAATCTAGAGCATTGGTAGATATCTATGGGTATAGCGGAAAAAAGTTGGATTCATTGCTGGAATTTGAAGCAAAATATGTACGACGATGATGAGGATTAAGCACAATAATAGGTACTATAATCCAATTTGATATTTGATACGATTTAATAAATTTAAGGTAGAAAAAAAGCAAAATTATGCAATGCATTAAATTTTGAGGGCTTAATTTGGATAAAAAATACTGAAACTTGTTTACTTTGTTGCCCTTTTAATTTAATAATAAATTAAAATAATGGTTATTTTTACATAAAATACATTAAAATTTTACTTTTAGTATTTAAAATGTCATGTTGTTAAGATAAATATGATCTATTTGCCGTATACCAATTACTTTAGTACTGTACTAATAGTACATTCAAGATAAATTTAAGCCAAAATAATTTAATAAATAATTAAAATACCAATAAAAAACTTACATTTTGAGGTGATTGAGCAGAGCATTTTATAATGAAATTATTTTAAATCCTAGACGTCCTAGAGAAAAACTAATGACATTTTTGAAATCAGCGACCCAAAATTAGTTAAACTAAGCTGAAGTACTTAATGTTGGGAAAAAAGTTTGTAAAATTATCATAGTGTTATAGTTTGGCAAAATATTTCTTTAAAAAATAAGAGTTTTGTAAGTCTTACTTTGTCTTAAAAACTCTGAATAAGACTTAAACTAATAATAATAATAATAAGACCTTTAGCAGAAAAATGGTAGGTACCTATAGCGATTAAATTAAATATCCGGCATTATTTAGATTGTTTTGTTTTATTAAGATTGTATTGTTGTATTTGGTTATAACATTGTTTTTGTGTAAGGCTTTATAACAACACAGAAGCAATGTTTACAATATAGGTATAAGCAAAGTTTATTTTAATTTATCACAATAAAACAGTTGTTTTTTACATAAGGTGTTATAACTATAGGGCCTTTCCATCTCAAATCGACCAGGCAAAAAGGAAGGGGTAGGTCGTTATTTTTTAACGAAATTTTTTTTACAGTTTCTCTACCAAAATCGATCGATCGATTTTTTCTTAATTTTGTTCACCTGTAGGAAATTTTTGAAAAATGGACAGAAACATCGATTTTTTCCTTTTTACGAGTGACATTTTTTCTTAAAAATGCGATAACTTGGCCAAAACTGTTTTGATCAATTTTTTTTTAATTGTAGGTAAATACAGAGTTTTAGGTTGACGCGTTCCTTTTAACAGCGTGTAAAAATCAGATAGACAAATAAATATTTTAAGTAACTTTTTTACCAAAACTCAAAAATAAGCGAGTTATAGCTTATAGCTATATAAGTTTAATTAAATTTTGAGCCGGTCCTGGATATTGTTAACAAAAAACATAACCATAAAAATAACAAAATAAACAATGCAAAATGTCATCTATGACAACAAACATAACCATTTAAACAAAAATGACACATTTTTAACAATAATTGAGGCCCAAAAAAAACTTAAAAAGTAAATAATGACATTTTTCATTGCTATAGCTATAGCAAGTTAATTCTTAATTCTTAATTGTTGTGTTGTTTAATTACTGCAATAATTGGTGTTTTTGGATTGTTTTTATGTTATTTAAGTATATTATCGGAAATATGGACGACAGGGATAAAAATTTCCCGTAACCCTGCGATTACGATTTAGGGGTCGAATGCTGTACCGCCTCGCAGCCCGTTTCTTACGAACAATTCTTTTTTGCAACAGTCAAAATGCTGTTGTAAGCAATAAAATTTTTAATTCTGATTCTGATTTTTAAAAGGTTACCACAGAACAGTCTCTTTGTCTCTGCATAGGTCGTAGACGGCCTTCCTTGATCAGACAATATGGGACTCCCAGCACAAAAATAATCAAAAATACGCTGATCAGTGCCAAATACACACGCACCTAAGAGTCTACAATAGATTGAGTAATTATAACATAAATTCCACCATGGATGGGTGAAATATATAAAGAAATATTAGTGCATACAGGCTGTATGATACAGCCATCTCCCATATGGTGCATGGTTGGAATATAAAATGGAGCTTCCTTCAATGAAAAATGTATGGAAAACTAACGAAAGATATTTATGGATGAATTAATTTTTTATGTGTTTAATAATGAAATGGTTGGATAAATGAAATATATATATATATAAAGTATGAAAGAAAGAAGGAACAAATGTAAAGGAAAGTGATAAAATTAATAATTTTTAAAAAAATTTATATGGATGATTTTAAGTGCATTGTAACAAAATGTATGTAGAAAGAAAATATATATAAATGACTCAAGGGATGAGGTAAACTCAGACGCTCTTAATTGAGACCCTTGGTCATTAAAATTTAAATTTTAAATAGCCTTTAAGTAGGACACAGGAGTCACATAAATCTGAACACAAGAGTCCTGTGACAGGACTCTTGTGTTCAGATTTATGAAGAAGAAGAAGAACAATCAGGTTTAACCTCACTTTTGCATATTTTTCATATTTCTTATTTTTATTATTTATCAGACATAAATGACAACAAATGAAACTATTTCTTATTTTTTAGTGAGCATAAATTCATCTTAAATTTTGTTTACTTTAATTGCAATATAAAGTGCAGTTATATCTTGTAAAAGTGTGTTAACAAAAAGGATTCATTCGGTTTAGGTAAGTTATAATGTTAATTAGTTGAGTAACAAAAATAGACAAATTTTCATAATTCAAAAGAAATTTTGTACCTATGTATTATATTTTCATTCATACTGGATGGTTGAATTTCACTGGGACAATTCCAACTTTCTTAAATTGTTGTATTCTATACTTACTTAAACAATTAACCATTAATTAATATTCTCAAACAAAACAATGCGATATATGAGATATAACTACAGGGTGGGTTATAAAGATTAGCGGTTTTACACAATGTATACAAAAATTTAACTATATTATGTTTAGTAATGTATATGACCATTGTACATTTTGTAACATGGCGCTTAATATTATACTTTTTTTTACAGAACCTAAATAATCCCATGGACGAGAACGAGGTATATTTATTCGATGACTTTGTCACCGAAGATAGTATTTACATTATAGACACTAAGGTTGTAGAAAAGGAAAACGATTGTCGGGCTGAGTAAGTTTTTTTATATTTATAATGCATACACAAAATACATGTCATAATTTTACTCAATTTTGGTCCAAAATTCATAAATGAGCTTTTACATTAAGAGTTAAATAGTCCTATTTTAAATGTATGCTAATTTTCAAGTAATGGTAATTCTGACAATGTAAGATTCAGAATAATTAAAATATTTTAAAAATTAATTCGTTTACGTGATACCTTTTTAATAAAAAAATGAAACGGTGTTTTTTAGCATTTAATACTTAATAAAAAATTGTTTTAGCTGTGAAACCTTAGAAACACATGGATTACTTGATAGTGTTAAATTGAGTAATTCTTCTGAAGGCTCCAGAAAATCCGGACAATCCCAAGTCAATAAAGAAATTAAAGAAGAAATAGAGAAGCATTGCCTGGATCATTTACATGTTGAAAGCGAGTAAGTATTATTTTTAGTTCGCGCGATGATTAACTAAAACCTGCATTTTAAAAATAAGAATCATATTTTTGAATTTTTTCAATTTAATTTAAAGCATTTAAAAAACCGACAAAAATAATATTATAATCTATATATCCCATGCTATTTTTCGGCAGGTAAATCCTAACTTTGCCACAAAGATATTAAAACTTAACATTAGCGTGTTTCACAGTTATATGGAGAAAGTATATTTAATATGTGCACTAATAGGTTATGTTCATTTGTGTTCATGCTTAACTTATACTCATACTCATTTAATCATACTTCCTATAACAAAATTCAGCTCTGAAAAGTTGAAAAACAAGAAGAGTGGTTGGTTTCTTTCAGAGCACTTAACAGATTTGGAAATTGGCCATCTGATCCGGTTGTCTCAGAATGTCGTATTTATACACTTATAAGTGTTTTAAGAGGAGAGTTATTAATGATACTGCCGTCTTATTCGAAAATACAACCAATTATTGAACAAGAAAGAAGAACAGATTCAGTATACTCTTTAACTAGCTTAAAATTACCTAAGCCATAAAAAGCCTCCCTTATTATACGTCGTATATTTTGATTTTAGTGTTTCATATTATTAATTTTCCTATTA